TTATATTATTCTACAAACAGCTATATATTAAACTAACCGTACTTTATATGCTTAACTGTTACTATAAATACATATAAATACTTGTATATTTATGAAAACAAAAAAATATATATATTTAACAACAAAAAAGAGGAAGATACAAAGTAATTTTACCAACACTAACAAAATATATCTATTCAGCTTACAAAGAGAAGGGTAAAATCTGCATTTCAATATTGACATAGAAAAATGTTCGACTTGTTTCCCTGTATTTATTCTAGTTGAATGCAAATTAAATTAAAATGCTTTCCTTGCTTTGGCTTTCCCTAAAATTGCATTTGTCGGTACAACACACCTTAAGAGTAGCAAAGTGGTGCTTAAATAAAAGTATTTACCATATTTTGGGTAATTAGTCCCTGACTGGTATCAGCCGCCCCATTCCCGTCTCAAAGGTAAACCTAATGGAGAAAAGGGAAGAAGAGAGAAAAGATAGATAGAATTTTGTTTTGTTTTTGTAATGATGTTTTTGTACGGTGTTAATTTTTCGTGTTTTTTTGTCAAAAAGAAAAATGATTGTTTTTCGCCAAAAAATGCATATTTATGATTAGAAGAAAGAGATATAGTGAAAAGTATAGCGCATTATATGTAGAAGAAGAGTGGTAAGAGCGTGAGAGAATTAACGCAAAAATTCAACAAAATTGAATTACAATTTAACTACAAAGTCGAATATTTAATTTTCATTTTCAACGTACAGCAGATAGATATGGCAGCCCAAATGGTGAAATTTAAGACGAAAGTCGCATGATTGGTGTATTTTAGCGCAACCAGTTATATATAGTTAAATATTATGATTATTATTAAAAAAAAACATATGGACGTTCATGAGGTAAATAGTATGAGGAGCTATGTAGACTGTACAGTAGATTATGAATATAGTTTATATGGCCACCCCTTTGCAATGAATGTTATGAGAATAATATATATTTTACGAGTAAATATAAGACTACTGCTTAGATAATTGATTGAAAACTCTCAAACCTTAAAAACTGTTATATACATTTTTATATATTGCTATATTTTAATATTTATATTTATTAAAATTTTGGTTAAATACATATATTACTATTTAACTACCTACTAATATATATTGATACATTTTTTAGTTTTTTATTTCATAGTTGTTTATTTATTGTTATATATTTATGTACATAATTAAGCGACGACTTAATTATTTAAAAAATTTTAATAATGTTTCTAAAACTATTCTATCTTCATGAATGTAAATGGTAATATTTCGCGAAAAGTTATGTTTCTGAAAACTTATGCCTTACAAAAAACAAAATTAGTTCTCTTGCCATCCCATATAACATAATTGGTCTAGTACAAAGATATCTGTTATTTTTGCAAGGCAAAGCTTTAGTTATGTGTATCTTGCGTTTTTGTAGGGGGATCAGGTTACACTATATGGTGTTAGAAAATTAAGATTTCGCAATTTTGATGTCCACACGAGTTAACGCATAAAAAGCTCATGTACCGAAATCCAATAATTTCTGAAGTGAATGTTTCTTGATGATAAAAAATGGGTCACTTACGATAATGTCAATCGAAAACCGTTGTAATCGAATCGCTCTGAGCCGACATGAATGATGAGCAAGCCAAGTTGGTGGCATTGGCAGGTTATCAACAACTGTAAGCTGCTTCTTTGCAGTTAAACCCTTAATTCGTATCTGTACTGTCAACAATTGGACCGTCTGTAGGCAATCGCCAAGCGGCCAGCTTAGACCAATAGCAGAGGAATTGTGCTCCATCAAGACAACACCAGGCCACATAAATCGATAGTAACTTGCTAGAAACTCCGGTAGGTTCTGACGCATCCACTTTATAGCCCGAACCTGGGCGCAAGTGGTGACTACCTTTTCCAGTGTATGGCGACTGATTTTGCTGCTGAAAAATTCGCCTCAAGCGAAGCTTGTGAAAATTGACTGTCCAAGTTTTTTTTTTTACCAAAAAGGACGAGGGTTTCTTTGAGAGTAGCTCTATGCAATTAATTTAAAAATGGCAACAAGTTATTGAAAAAAACGTTGCATATTTGAGCTAAATCAAACAACAAAACCTTCAATTTGCTTTTACTAGACTTATATATACATATGTATATATATGTTCCAAATCCAACATATTTTTAAGTATATGACAATTCGGCGCGGAATTTGTGTGATTATATTATGTTTGTCGATTATAATATAAATGAAGGTTATGTCGATAAGAGTTGCTTTAAAACTATTGCAAATTGAAAAGATACTGTTATGTATGCCTAATCTATTTGTTTTCTTACAATAGCAGGAGTTTTTTTCATATATAAATATGTATATGGAGGTTACGTAAATAATACGCAATTTTTGCTGATATTATTTTTTTTTTCACGATTTATTTCATTGAAATAAACATTCGTCTCAAAGTTGGAAGCTACATACATGTTTATATTGAGGCTATGTCAACATATTTTATTTACAATTTTAAAGATTGAAATAAGTCTGTCAGCAATGTATTTTTATATAATTCGCGCAATTTTCATGTGTGGGATGAATAAGCTTTTATGAGGTTATATCATTTAGAACATATTGAGTATAGGTTACTTTTTGAAATTGAAATTTCTCACAATGCAAATCAAATTTTGATAAACATTTTTGAATAACTTGAAAATATAGATATATCGTATCTTTATTAGTAGAATCACTGCCACCAGATTAAAACACAATATTTTCAAAACTATTGCCCTTGATATACATACAAGGTGCAATTCCAAAGTTTCAGGACTTTTATTAAAAAACGAATATTATTTGTTTTTTTTTTTAATTTATTGGTCGCCTTCAAAATAGTCTCCTTCCGCTTGAATACAACGTTTTGCACGTTCAAGAAGGTTATCGAATGACTTTTTTAGGTCATTTGTCGGTATAGCGTTGAGGATGGCGGTCGTCGCCTTTTAGATGGCATCAACGTCAGCATAGCGGTTTCCTTTCATGGCCAAATGTAGTTTTCCGAACAAATAAAAATCGTAGGGTGCCATAACAGGCGAATAGGGTGAATGGTTGATGATATGAATGCGATTTTTGGTCAAAAAATCTGTCGTGAGTGTCTCTTGAATGTTGAATTCTGAGGTCTTTTTCGTGTTGTTTCAAAGTGTGCGGGACAAATCGAGCACAAACCTTTCTGAGGCCCAAATTTTCTGTCAAAATACGATAAATCGACGCTGCGGATATTGATAATTCCAATTCCATATATTTAAGCGATGATTTCGGCTCTTTTTTAATGAATTCACGCACAATTTCCGTGTTTTTTTTCGTTCACAACATCTTTTGGCCGGCCCGAACGTTCGTCGTCTGCCAAGTCCTCCCGTCCCTCTTGAAAACGTACCACTCGTGAATACGGCTACGGGATAGACAATCATCGCCATAAACTTGTCTCATCATTTGATGAGTTTTGTTAAAAGTTTTACCAAGTTTAAAAGAAAACTTAATGCGCCATATGTAGCGCGATATCTCAGCTGTTATACAAGTCAGCTGTTATATAAATTTTATACGACAACACGGAAGAATACACAATTGAGGGATAACAATTTCAGACAGATGGCGCCACTAGAAGCCGCGTTGTTTACAAAGTCCTGGAACTTTTGAATAGTACCTTGTATGTATATCTTATAAACCATTTTACGTACAAATTTTCCGTTCTTTATTTAGCAATTAATTGCGACTTGCATTGTTCATATTGCGCCATAAGCACGAGTTAAACGACTAGCTTATAGTAGTTTTATATTATTGTTCTATATTGTGACGTAAAATAATCTCTAAATAGTTTTGTGGAATGATATCAAGTTAACAATGCTTGATCGAATATAGATCCACAGTTCAGGATTACTTTTAGTTATGTAAAATAGCGTACCGTGCAAACGCATAGTTCTTATGTGTTATCTAAACTCTCGAAATAGTGAACAGTATATTCACATTTTCTAACGACATTTTCTAAGCTCGTGTTTACGCTATGTACACATAATAGCATTAAAACAATGAAATTGTAGTTGTATAAAACTCCAGTTGACTTCGAGTAAGCTGCTTATTCTTTTTCTTTAATTAACTATGAAACATTACTCAATTTACTCAATCCGTTTAAAATATATTTCTTTCATTATTTTATATAAAGTAACTTATTTACATTCCGAGATTGGCGCTGCAAACAAACCAAGAGTATTTGCTCAAGTCAGGCGTAAATGCATTATATAAATACATATGTATTATATATGTTTTGCTTACAAAAATATTTACAATATAATAACTGCATAAATCCAATATTCGCAAACACTCAATTTTATGCAATTTATTTGTATTGCAATTTGACTTATGCTCTAACTAATAGAAATTAACAGAAAAAGTCTACAAATTGTCAGTGTTGAAGCGTGCAGTTACGATTAGGACTTTTAAGCAAATAAAGAGTCATACCACTATATATACATATACATATATACACACAATATATTTACATAAATATAATACAATACATAAAACATTAAAAGCTGACGCTATTTACTTATTGTGATTAGTTGCTAACATTGTTAAGTTTTATAATACAATATAAGCAAACAAAGCGACATTCATACGCATATATAAACTAATACATACAGTAACTATTTACATACAAATATATATACATACATACATTAGTTCACTACTGAGGAAAGTTTACGCAGTATTTAAATTTTTTGTTTTTTTTTGCTTTTCGTATAGCTTTTTAAAGGTATTTCTAAACATTTGAAAAATACACCAATCATTGACGACTGAGAAAGTGAGCAAGCGTACGTACAAGTTCACCTACTAAACATTCAAATCAATACCAAAAAATATTTAAATTAAATAAATGTTTTTCTCTTTTTGTTATGCCAAAAAAAAAAAAAACAAATTACCGTGAAACATCAATAGTTATAAGTTACATGAATCGCATCATTACATTGGTAAACACGAATGCCAACTTACCTTCTTAACGCTGCGAGTTGTCGAAAAGCCATCGCCACGACGATAATTATCACCCTGAGTAATGGAGAGGAGAATAATTAATTAAATTACGTTAATTATTTGTAGATACTAATACCTAAATTTTAGGCTTATGTGAGTTGATATATGAGTATTTTTTACACTAGAGTGCACCTTAAATACTCTAATGTAGAACTTTTAATATTTATTAGAATATATACTGCCTACTCTAAATTACAATAGTTTAATTTTAGACTTAAGTAAGTTGATTTATAGAGTATATTGGTACTAGTGTGAACCTAAAAAAACACTAGCGAATAATTTGGAGTTTAAACTCCTTAATCTGTATTTTTTAAATTTCAGGGCTTATGAGTTGTTTTATAAGTATATTTTTTCCTAAGGTGACCCTTAAAAGATCTAACAGATATTTTTTGGGTGTCTAAACTTCTCTATTTGTATTAGTTAAATTTAATGAATTATGCACATATATGGGTTAGTTTACGGTATATGTATAAGTACTAGGGTGGACCTTACAAGATCTAACGGATAGTTTTTAATAATTTTTTTGAGGTCAAAGCTGCTTAATCTAAATTAGTTTAAGTTAAGGTAAGTTGATTTGTGAGTATATTTGTACTAGGGTGGACCTTAAAAATTTTAACGAATACATTTTTGGAGTCTAAACTTTTCAATCACTTACTTAGTATTACTTAAATTTTAGACTGAAGTAAATTGATTTTGGTGTATATTTATACAAGGGTGGATTTTAAAAAAACTAAAGAAAAATTTGGTTTGGGGCTAAACTTTTGTTTTAATCTAGGGTGAACCTTAATAAAACTAAGGAATAATTTGTTTATGTGGTCTACACTTATCAATTTGTATTTGTTAAATTTTAGACTTAGATAAGTTGATTTATGAGTATTTTTGTACTAGGGTGGTTCTCAAAGTACCAAACAAAAAATTTTTTTGGGGAACTAAACTTCTCAATCTGTGCTAGTATAATATTAGGCTTAGATAAGTTATTTAAGAAGTATTTTCATACTAGGGTGCACCTTAAAAAGCATTTTGGGCTCTAAACTTGTCAATCCTTATATGTTTAATTTTGGACTTGGGTGAGTTGTTTTATAAGTATATGTATACTAGGGTGGATCTTAAATAATTTTTTTGGCTTAACTTCTCAATCTTAGTTGAATTTTATGCTTATATAGGATAGTTTACGAGTATTTATATACTAAGCTGGGCCTAAAATAGACAACTAAACTGTTCTAACGAATACATTTTAGGAGTCTTAGTTGTTTAATCTGTACTGCTTACTTTACAGGCATTTGTATGTTAGGGTGGATCTAAAAAATCTAAGTAACAATTAATTTTAGTCAAAATGGTTTAATTTGTAGTGATATCTTCAGCCTAAAATTTTGGTATATTTTAAGACGGCATGAACTAAGATCAGTACTTTTTTGTTTCATAACTAAAAATTCGATTATTAAAGACAGCAGTAGTGAATAGTTGGCGAATCTTAAAGATGGCTCATACAGTATCTAAGATGGACGTAAAAAGAACACCTAAAAAGTTCTAGTGAACAATATATTTTACTCACAACTGTTTAAGCTGTATGGACTTAGTTTGGAAATTTTAAAAGTTACTTCACGGGTAATTTTTACTTTGTAGAGTGGATATAGAAAAAAATTGTAAAAAAAAATTTTTTAGTCTAAATTGGTCAATCTGTAAGCCTATTTGCTGGAGTGAAAACTTCACCAAGAATTTTGGTTTCTTTGAAAACTGCATAAATTAAAATCAGTAATTTTCTGCCTTATAACTAAAAATTCAAGTGAGATTAATTTACAATCGATTTTACATATACATATGTATATTAAAATCTGAATCTAGTAGTGAATATATGGCGAAGCTTAAACATGGGTCTCACAGTGGCTAATTTTTTAAGTACGATATAATTATAAATAAAATTTTTTAATTTTAAATTTGTAGAATTTATAATCGATAGCATTTTTAACGGTTTCAGGTATTGGATTAATAGAAAGTTTGAAGTAATATAATAAGTATTTTTTTTGATTCGATGAAAATTTTGCCTTAAAAACTTTTTTCCAACATTTTAACAGTACTTAAACGAATTTAAAATTAAAATGCGGTATCTCGACGTTTGTTATTATCGAAAAAGTTGCTGAAGATAATAGTTTTATCGAATGAAAAAAAATATTAGTACAAATTTTTGTTTTTTGAATTTCATGAAAATGTTGCTTCTGAAGCTGCAACCCTATATTTTAATAGTCCTCAAACTGATTTAAAATTTAAATGCGGTAACTCGACGTTTGTATTATCGAAATATTTATTGAAATTTATGAAATCGGTTGTAATATTTTTATTGCTATATTTAACGATCATCCTAATCTAGAAGCGTACAGTGGTGGACATTAGAATGGATATAATTCTGCTTGCTGTGTTTAAGGTTTGGTCTAATCTATACTCATGCAGGCAGTGGATAATATTTTATATGAATACTATTAAAATAAGTTTTTGGTTTTAAACTAAAATGAAATTTTCTTAAAACAATTTTTTTACAATAATTGTCGAAGCTACTGAGTTCATACATTATTCAACGACTTGAGAAGAGGAATATCAACCCTGCGTGCATATTTTTCTGGCTTAACGGGATCTAAAATTACAAATAACGTCGTTTATGCCACGCTTAGGATTACTAGTTGGTCCTAAATGCCCTTTTGAATTAAAATGTACCAAAAATTTCAAGTTTTCTGATCAAAAAAATTATATAGAATTATTGCACTCAATTTAAGTCCTCCACTGTATTTTTTCAATTTTTTCTATTTCACTAACTAAATTGTTATTTTAAATCATTTTCATTTCGCTAGCTTCATACTTACCATCACCTGATGCGATCGCAGTGTGCCGAAATTGTCGCGACCGCGATATGTCTGTTGTGTATTATAGCCATCGGGCTGGAATTGGAAGAGCGTTTCGGAGTTGGGTCCATGATGATGCATGGGCTTGCGTAGCGTGCTCTTTGGTGAATGCTGCATTTTATTTTGTGGTGGTGGCTGTGGCAAGAGCACCGGTTCGGCGTACGTCACCTCCTCCACTTGAGGTAGAAGCTTGGGCTCGGCTTGTATGCTGTGTGGAAGCGGAATTTTGAGGTGGTTATGAGTAGTTTGTGGCAAGTTTTGGCTTATAAGAGACAGAAAAATTTTTTTAAATCTTTGCATATAGTATACTAAATGTAGTTATGTGTATCTGTGTATAAAAGGCCGTTATATAATATTTACCGATTGACATTTTGACGCTGCTCAAAGTACTCATATTCCGTATCGGGATATGGCAAATTGTCGTCCTCATCCTTGTGACAGCGTCGGCCACAGAAGTAGCCTGTAAAGAAGCCCACTAATAGGGAGAAAATTGAACCAGCTAAGACGGCCATAACGAGCGTTTCGACGGTATACTGCGCATTGATAATATCTGCTGAAATTTGTGGACCTTTTTTAGTAGTTGAATATGGCAAAATGCATTGCGTGGGGATAAAGTTGATTATAGGCATATTTTTATAAATATTTAATTTTTTATAATTATTTTAATTATTATTTTTTTTTTTAAATTTGTAAAGGGTTTTCATATTTTAAACAATTTTTTAAAAATTATTTCGAAGTTTTTTTATATATGTAAACATTTTTTTTGAATTGGATTTTATATATTTTAAAATTTTTTTTAAATAATTTTTTGTTTTCAATAAATATTTTGAATTTTTTTTTGTTTCGAAATTTTTTTTTTTGTAAAATTTTTTATTTTTAAAAATATTTTTTTTTTTTTTTTTTAATTTTAAAAAATATTTTCAAGTATTATTTTATATTTTCGAAAAATTTTTTTAATTTTTTATAATTTAAAAAAATGTTATTATTAAATTTTTTTGTCGCATTTTGCAGTAAATATTTTTATTGTGTTCGATCGTTTCAGCAACGCATGTTTTGTTGTTGTTGTTTATTTATGTTGTGTTGAGCGCACAAAAACCAAAAGAATACCAATACACCAACACCAATATGAAAGAGCAACATTGTATGTATGTAACAGCAACAGCAACAGCAACCAACAACAACGTTAATTTTTTTTTAGGTTACACACGACATCATAAATATATAACATTGAGGTGGATTATGATAAACGCCAAGATATAATATATTTATTAATTTATTTGTTTGGTTTTGGTTGATAATTGATAAGAAAAAAGAAAAGAAAAAAGGAAGAGAATAAAGTTGAACGTTAATATTTTGCATTGCAAACGGGTAAAGTATGTGTGTGTAAGTGCAATTGGTTATATCAAAGAAATATTTAATGGTTGGGAGGGTACATATGTAAAGGTTGTAACGCTAATGCTTAGCTACAAAAAAATTTGTTTGTAATAAATCAATAAAAAATTTTATTCATGTGTAGAAAATTATTATTAATTTATTTGAATAAGAGTATTTATATGTGTGTGCAATTTTCTAAAAAAAAATTAAATAATTTTGAAAAAATTAACTTACATTATTTTTAAGTGTTATTTATCATATTAGTAAAAATATAAGAGTTATGCTTTAAGACAAATAATATTATATATTAAAAAACATGCAACACTTTTGCATACATACAAGAATAGATATATATATATATCTATTATAAACAAATATTAAAAAAAAAATAATAATAAAAAAATGCATTCACAATAAAAGAGAATTCCTTATTTGCAGAGGTAAGCACTAAACAAATTTCTGTTCAGAGCTCCATGACTGAAAGCTAATTGCTTACTGTATATATAACAATACTTAAATATATTTAATTGACGAAAGAACTCGCATTAAAAACTAATTGAATGTGCTATTGAAGCGTTTTCTATATTCTTTCCCTGAAAATCACATAAGAAATATTATATCACGATAAGCAGCACCGCAGTCAGCAGCACCATACGATTATCTTTAATTTGATATCAATATCATTAAAATCGGTCTAATTTTGACAAAGTAATAACGATTTTTCTGACGCCATTACTAATTCGCATGCGACATATTTTCTTGGTCATTGGGCGTAGCATGCTTTCAGGCGTCATTAAAGCAATGTGGTGCAGTTTTGAAGGAAATTTCGGCCAAACTACCAGGCGCCCATAATCGTGCAGTAAGGGTGTTATTGGGAACTGGCAAACGAAAAAACCTTATAACTTATACAATTGTGGATCGATCAGGATGATTTTGGTATTCCTGAAAAGGTCATGTTTTGAGCTGCCGCAAAATAGGATGAAGGGTACTAATATTGTAAAAGGGCGTGGTTTTTACCAAAATAAAAAGAAAAATGCTTCCATATATATTTCAATCGATTTAAGCGTTATGGTAGCTGTGGGCTTAGGTATTTTGTTGCTAAATGTAAAAGCAAGATTCGAGGCTATCACAGACTTTTAAAAATATGTTGTGAGTCAATATTTGTAAAATTAGTGCTGCGCCTTCATTGTTTTTGAAGGCTGATAAGGCTTCTGCGTGAAAAATACCAGTTATGTGTAAGAACCAGCGCAAGTGTTAATGCCAGTAAATAAACGCCAAGCGATTTCCTTTAATTTGATACCAATATCATTAAAATCGGTTGAGTTTCGACGAAGCTATAAGGATTGTCCTGACGACATCACTATTCCGCATGCAGCACATTTACGTGACTAGTTAATGTAGCATGCTTTCAGGCGTCACTAAAGCAATGTGCTGCATTTTGATGGGAAATTCGGCCAAGCTACTAGGCGCCCATAATCATGCAGTAAGCGTGTTGCCGGGAACTGGCACACGGAGAAACCTCATAACTTCCACAAATATAGACCGATCAGGATGATTTTGGTATCAATGGAAAGGTCATGACTTAGACCATCGATATGTATAAGTAAAGGTATTAAGGTCGTAAAAAGGGCGAAGTTATTAACAAAACATACAGAAAGTGCTTCTTTTCACATAAATTCCAGTCGATTTAAGCATTATGGTGACTGTAGGTTAGATATTTTGATCATTGATTTATGGGCATAATTCGTAGCGACCACAGACCATTAAAAATTGTTCTATATTTGTTCAAGTTATTTATACACTTTCAACGCACTAGACAGCTAAAACAGCTTCTGTGTGAAAAATATTATATATGTATAAAAGTTAGCGAAAGTGTAAGCAATACAATAGCAGCGTCCAGCGATTAGCTTTAAATTGATACTATTATCATTTAAATCGGTTCAGTTTTGGCGAAGTCATATCGAGTTTTCGGATCTCATCTCAATCTGTATCCGGCACATTTTCTAGGTCAGTTCGCGTAGCATGCTTTCAGGCGTCACTAAATCAGTGTGCTTCATTTTTGGAGGAAATTTCAGCCAATCTACCAGGCGCCCATAATCGTGCAGTAAGTGTGTTATCGAGAACAGGCAAAAGAAAAGACCTCATAACTTCCAAAATTGTGGACCGATTGCTATGATTTTGGTATCAATGGAAAGGGTATGACTTAAGTTATCCGAAAAAAAACTAACAACAAACTTTTATAGCGAAGATTTTTAATACTTACCAACTATTTAAAATCTGATATAAATGGATATACTGCAGCTATGTACACTATTTGACAGAAGAAGCAATAATACCTAAGGATAGAGTGTTGAACTTTTCAATTTATCATAGAAATCAGCGTAGTTTTAGCCAACTTATCACGGAATTATCGGAGCAGCACATTTATTTGTTAAACATTATGTGTTTGTTTTGTTAAGTTAAATTCTATTTTTTTCCTAGAAAATTCTACTATTTTACCAGGTGATCATAACTAAATAAGTAGCGTGTTTTAAAGTAAAAATTGCTCAACAATTTTCCATTTACGCATCGATCGGGATATTTATCTTTTTATTAACTTGGATATAACCTTAATATTCTTACACTTACCGATGTTTTTAAATAAAATAATCCTCAAAGCTTCTAAATTGTATAAACGTTCGTTATCCTTAAAAATTGGTTATTGTTTGATTAGTATTCATATTGATATTTCGTACGGCAGAAAATATATATTTTTTCCAAGTACGTGCTCTTCTACCTATAAGTTCACTGTTGGGTTCAGTACAGTGAATTTTATAATCGATATTTTTAGATCGAATATTTTTGTACTGGTGATGAAAACGAATCATTACGATAACCTTAAACGCAAAAAATCAAATGCGCAATCTGGCCAACCAGCGAAATCAACGGCAAAGCCAATTATGCATGACGCCAAGGTAATGCTCTGTAACTGGTGGAATCGGAAGTGCGCGCTGTATTAAAAGTTTTTAAAACCGGTTGAAACCATTTATGGAAACGCTATGGACCACAACTTATCAAACTGAAGCGGAAGATTGTCGAAAAACGCTCGTAATTTGTGTCTAGACAAAAGATAATAGTTTTCCATCATGACAACGCTTGGCCTCATGTTGCAAGCGCGGTTTAAAACTATTTGGAAAGCGGCTGGGAAGTTTTGCTTCAACCAACTTGCCGCTAGACCTTGCCTCTTCTGACTACCATTTGTTACATTCGACACAGACGGCACTCATTGGAATGCGGTACACATCATAATAGGGTAGCAAAAATGAGCTTGATTTATTCCCAGCGCAGTTTTGTTAGGATGGAATACACAAGTTGTCAGACAGATCGGAGTGTTATAGTTTTGATAAGAAATATGTGTATTTTATGTTTTAATAATGCTATTGTTTTTTTTTTTTTTTTTTTTTTTAATTAACGTTGTATAAAAAAACAGCAGGAATATACAAGTATGTAGTTTAGACTCAATATGTATACCTACGTGCATAAGATTCTATCTTAAGCCTTTATAAGTTTATAAAATTAGCTGAAGAATATAAAATTAATCAAATAAAAGCGCAAATAAATTCGAAACCACAAAATAATAACAATAACAGCTTTATTATAACATGTACGTAATCACATATATAATATATAACATAACAAATCAACATAACTGTAACTATATGCTGACAGTAATTTTGATTGAGCATATGAACTGAAAGCAATCAATGCAACTGCAAATGTCTAAAATGGCAAATAAATATCAACAATAATAATATGATAAAGTATAACAAAAAGTTTAGAAGCAACAAAGCGCAGCGTATGTGAAACAGTCAAACACACACACACGCATGCAAATAAACGAAAGTGGCTTAGTCATATTATTACAAGAAAAATACGAAAATATATTGCTATAAACACTAACAAAGGCAAATATGCACGTAAAAGTTACAGCAAGCAGACAAGCTGTCAAGGCGTGCATTGCAGCCATTTTAAGAACAACAGCTATGAATAACAACAACGCACACACACACCTATACACATATAAATACAAGAATTTATAAACAACCACTGCTTAGTGTAATAAAATACGTAAATCAAAAACAATACAACATAAGACGCCAACAACAACAAATTTATGGGTGTTAGTCAAGCATGCGACAGTACCGTTATACTAATACATATGTATGTGCATATGTGTGCCCGTATATGCAGGTGGTAGAGAAAAGTGTGCGAGTAACAAACGTTAAAAATTGCACACGCTCAAGAAGTGCGCAAGGAGTAAACGAGTTTTCAGTAGTATCACTACAATAGCAATAAAAACAACAACATGCATTAATATAAAATGATATCAAAGAAAATGCGAAAGTGCCATAAATCCGGACAAGCTGTGTCACTGTCATCATTAACCGCACAGATGAGCGTTTAGTTGTTGACGCCATAAACAGGTGGTCCAAATAGCATTTTATATGTGTTTTTATTAAAATTTAGAAAATAAAAAAAATATATTGTAATGAAATAATTAAAGAATTTTAATTTTAATTATGAATATAATTACTAATTAATTAATTTGAGAGTGAATCAAAAAAATTAAATTTTTTTGCATAGCTAGCCAAATGTGTATAACAAATTTCTTAAATTAAAAAAAAAAAAAAAATTTTACCATATGTATAAGACTTGCTTAAAATTAAAATGCTTTGCAGCCTGTTTATATTTTTAATTATTACTTAATTGGGAGAAATACTAAACATTTCATATGGTACCAATTAGATTTTTTTTATAAATATTTTTATTTTTTTTTAATAAAACTTTTTATAAATATTTTTATTTTTTTTTAATAAAACTTTTTATAAATATTTTCTGTCATGTTTAGGAAATTTTTAAATAAAAACTGTACCTCAGTTAGTCAGTCAGTTAACGCTCACTTTCAGATGTTTTGAGAGCTAAAAAAGAGTCTGCGTGAAAAGCACAATGCTGGTGTAGGGCAATGCTGTATCAGCGCTAAGAGATTACCTTTAAACTGATATCAATATCATTAAAATCGATTCAGTTTTAGAGAAGTTATACTGAGTTTTTGTTTGGCATCACTAATCTGCATTTAACACCTGCTATTGATCATTTCGTGTTCGTAGCATGCTTTCAGGCGTTACTAAAATTTAAATACTGCATTTTTGAAGAAAAATTTGAGTCGGGCTATCAGGCGACCATAATCGTGCATTAAGGGTGTGCCCAAAAACAGGCGGCAAAAAATTCCACAAATATCAACAGATTGGGATGATTTTGATAGCGTTGAAAAGGGTTTGACTTCGGCTATCCCAAAATATGCATATATTTCGGAAGTTTTTTATTTGACAAAATATAAATTTCCGTCGATTTGAATGCTAGCTTTGTTAGCGCGATAAGCATGATTTTTGTGTCTGATAAAAGGGAAAGAAAGATAGGAAAGTGCGCAAATTATTTTGCACTGCAAGCTACTGCACCATTTACAGTGCGTTCAAAAAATAACGTTTTCATTTTCCAAAGTGTAGGTAGCATTTATTGGCAAAAATTTTGTAATTATAGAAAATACATTGCTTTGTTGTAGCTGACGTATGCCAGATCTATAAAGTCTATCCCGTATTGTATATAGAGTGATATCTTATCACTTTTGAAACTAATTTTTTTTAGCTTCTCTTAGACTGAGCCGTGGTTGTTTCGCAAAACGAAGAACACTAGCTTTGTTCTTATTTTTAGATGTTACGCGATTCCCCTCTTTCTGGCTTGCCAGCTACGTTTCCAGTATCTCCTTAATGATCAGACTATCTCTACACACATGTACAAATTGTATTTAAATACTTTGAGTTTTTTTAAACAGTCCATATGTGACCGTTAGGATGCTTCGTTAAATAGTCTGCTTAAAAACTTTTCTTATACTGAGCACTCATTTTTCTTATATCACGGCACAACGTAACATATTAAGTATGTATAACGAAAAAAAACTGACCGGATTGTACGCATCAGTGATCGCTATTAAATATAATATATGTGAATTTGCAAAAAAATAAAAAACAGTTTTCCGCAAAGAAAAACGTTTTTTTGTTTTAACATACTGTAAATTACATTTACTTCATAACTTAAAAAAATATGCACCGATAAGTATAACTTTGATAGCAGTTAAAGTGAAACGTTTAGACCTCCTCGAACAATATTAAAAAAGGTCTAGTAATCCTTGAAGATGCCGTATCATTTCATACAAAAGGAAGGAAAGATTAAAGCTGCTAAAAATTTTGCAACTTTGGGTGCCCCTAAATGAATTATTATCTAATATTAATCATATTTTCCTAAATGAATTATCACTGTTAGGCTTTGTAACTAGAATTCAAAAATAATTTTTAATTTTAAAAGTTTTTTTTTCGTGTTTCGGAACATTCAACAATAGATTACTACAAGCTAATGAATAATGCCTCGCTGTTTACAAAGAAAGCGTTTTGGATTTGAAATTAAGTATTAAGAAAGTGTACCATACATACTTGTACATGGTATAGTATGAAGCCTTGCCAGGTTTTTTGTCATACCTATATGGGCTTCAGAAGACCACTTCCAGCGCTTCAATCATTTATGAAAGTTATTTAAACGTAATGTATGCCTTTTTGATGTGATTGTTTTAGAATGCTTTCTTATGATTAAAAATACACTTTTCAAAACTTTTTTTTTTTAAATTTTGTAAAGAAAAAAGATGTTTGACAAACCACATGTCCGACTTGATCTGCACAACTCCACAAACAGAGTAAAAATATTAAACAAATAAAAGAACCGCAAATATTTGGACCACCCCATACGCACATAAATAAATAATGCAACATCATGTTTAAAAAGCGTTTACTAACACATAGAAAGTTATGTACTTGCAACACCACTATACATAAATGTTTTTTGTTTTACATATGTACAAAAAAGGATTGGACTGGAGTTTGGGACTAGTTTTTATTATTATTATACTATACGTTGCACAATAAATTTGAGCAAGAATAGAGAGAGTAGAAGGAGTTTGCTTTAATCTTACCTTCGAAATTTTTATCACCCATAATATTGATGATCTCCTGATCCTTGCCTTGGCGCCGTGAATCCAACAAATCCATATCGTCACGATAGCCTTTCTGTTCGCCGACATTCGCATCCTTGGAATTGATTTTACCTGCAAATGTGAATGGAGTGTATGCTGAGAATAGAGGCGGTGCAATGATAGAGTGCAAGAGTGGCAGGATGGCGGGTTTAGTATATTAAATGGCGTGATGTTTGTATGTATTAAATATGCAATATTTTAGTGTTGTTATTTTGATGGTGATACAAAAAGAAACGAAAGTAGAATGTGTAATGAAAATGAAAATGCATAAATGAAATGATTACAAATGATGGATACGAAAATAAAGAGAAAATAAAAACCGTTATTGTCTTGGAAATTTGTTTTGTTTTCTTGGGCGGTTTATTTTTTATATACAATATATACGTTGATAAATGTTTAAATAAAAATTTAAAATACCTAACGGTACATATATATAATGGTTTTATATTTAATTTAAAGTGTTTTTTTTTTTTTTTGTAGATACACAAATGCTTTTGCATATACATTTCAAATAGAGGTTAACTATTAACATATTATTATAGTAGGTAATAAGTATTGGTGATAATTATTGAGCAAGCTATGGAAGGATAATAATGCGCCTGGGAAACATTGATACCAATAATATGCTTCAATTTTAATTGAAGTAGTGAAGCTTGAAAAAATGATTAATGACTCAAGAGAGTGAAGACTTCTCCAGCTATTTTTGATTCACCAAGCGTGGCCAAGCGGCGTATGGAACCAATAAAACCAGACATCCGAATAAGCAGGTAGCACCTTGCTGACAATGTTTTACATTTTTTGGCATAAGCGCATGGTGGAAAGATAGAGAGCAGTGAAATGGCGAATCGAAGACAGCTTCTATTTATAGGATTTTAGCGAACGTCTGCCAATACTAAGAGTAGTAAGAAATGTACTGATAGAAAGCAATAATAGAGTCAACTAAGAATCTGCTAAAGTTAAAAGCGGCCAGCGGTATTGAAAACAAAGACAGTCTGGTTGTATTTTAACCAAAAAGCCTTTCTGCTAAATTTTGTTACTAATTAATATATATTATTTTACGGTCACTGTTTGTCAGTTAAAAGATAAAAACCGAAGGGTAGCTCTCATTGTAAACAATAGTGTTGGCTATTTTTGTTATAGATTATTTACGCATAGTTTCCGTCTATGGACTGAAGGGGTCCGCCAAACTCCTTGTATTCTAGAAAGGTTACTGCTTGATCAACGTTAATGTCAATGACGTGCCGTCACAGTTTATTTATATACTTTACACATTTTTTTGAAAAATGAATGTGGAGAAATCTTACACGAGAGGTGCTTCTGCTGTCGATTATGTTGTTTTTTTCAAAACACAATCGTCAAAAAAGAACGTGCTACGGGTTGATTAAGAGTATAAAAAGAAATCCCTCGAAGGAGTTTAAACCAAACGTGAAAAGGAAACTTTAATTATTTGTACAGGAATATTTACATTTTAATGAAATACTATTTCTTAAAAAATGAAGAAAAAAGTGGGCTCATTAAACCTGGGATGAGACTTCTGCGAACTAAAAATAAATTGGTGTGGTATCGAGAGTAGTTGATGACACCGAAACAGTCATTGCTCAAGAGAGTGATTACTTCAGCTCAGTGGGTTGATAGAGACAACCAATACAACAAGTATAAATTGAGAGACCGAGTCAAGTACCGATCTGAATTTTCTCCGAGGAAAAGTTTCTTAGAACAAGCTTTACCAACCTTCACAGATGCATTTCTTATAGCAGGGCATAAAAAGACCTTACACATGATTTTGATCGATCAGTTTGAATGACAGCTACAAGTATATGCTATATTGGTCTGATCTGTACAATTCATTTGGCGATTGTAGCGTTGTCTTGAAAAATAATCTATGCTAAATTTGGTAAAGCTATCATATCAAATAAAAAAGTTTTCTACAAGAGTACTCGATTTTGATGTCACTTTGTATGGCAGCTATATGTTATAGTGGTCCGATATCGGTTCTGCCAACAAATTAGGAGCTTCTTGAGGGGAAAAGAACGTGTGCGAAATTTCAGACCGATATCTCAAAAACTGAGAGATTACTTTGCATATATGTATATAGATATACACACGACGGACATGGCTAAATTGAATCAGCTCGTGACGCTGATCGTGTATATAGTATATATACTTTATAGGGTCTTCGATAGTGGTAAACTGAAGAATAGTTTTTTAGAAAATCAGACTAAATATGGCTTGTTGACATCGCATGCGCTTAGCAGGCGTTGGTTGACGTCCGACTTCTGTGCGACTGCGAGATCCTAGTGGAGATCTTTTCTGAACCATCTGACTTTAGCAAAGTTCATTTTGCCACAATCGTAGAAGTTCTTAATAGACATTGTCCCATAGGCATTTATGCGGTAAAGCTAAAAATTTTGTCTGAAGCAAGTTGTCAAAGCTGTATGGAAGAAGGTGAGGTGGAAATATTCTTGGCGAACCAGAAGCCGTCTTAACAAATTTGTAATAGCCTCAAGGCGCTTTGTCGATTTAAGACGAGCTCTATGATCAACTATATAGGAGTGCAAGGTACATCAGCAGACGGGCGTTATAAGCTGTCTTAGCGAGATCCTCTCGTAATATCGGTATTTTAACTTAACCTAAGCTAATCTAACCAAGGCTTACATGCAATATCAGCCAAATACATAATAAAAGTTGTAGCGGTGTAAGAGTCAATGCTTTGTACTTTTTTGTTCCAAAATCTTGGTTATAGGTGGCTTTATTACTTGTGAAATGTTGATAAGTTATTGGAGAGAACTTATGACTGAGTTATCTGACTTTTTACCTACTCCATCTACTTTTTGCATGGAAAAATTTTGAGTATACCCATATGTTGATATGCTTCATTCAAATATATTGACATATGGCCAACTTAAAGGTATGAAATTACTGATGAACTGAAAACTATACAAAGTCACCAATACCACTATAACAATTATATTCAATACTTTCAGCTGAAATTCATAAATTTCTTCTTTTCATTTCTCTCGTGTACACGCAATCCACCAACTGTGGAATTTAATTTGAGCGCAGAGCTTGGCAATTTGCCATTATCTGGCATACGGCCAAATCTCTGCCAGGAGAGTAACATGAGCAATACCCCAGGAATGTACGTTATTATAATGACAGAATAACAAAAATTAATATTGTTGAATTTTTCGCTTTTATATAGGATTATTTTCTCGAATTAAATATGTATACACATACACATATGTGAGTTTCATTTAACCTCAGGGCAGTCAGCTGCATGAAATATGCCCGACAGAGTTGCTGTCGTGAAGCGAAAAATATATGCGAAAGCAAATGTGTGGCAACTACGAACACGTGTGTGTTTATAAATATGAGTCTACGTTAAACTATGTAGATCTGCCTACATGTATTTTGTAATACAAACTTATAAAATCTTTTTAATATACATTGTACTATATTACTTACCTGATGGGCATGCCGCATGTTGCCCGGTTGCAACATTCTGATAGAAATAATTCTCCTCTAGCCAACGTGGCGCACCATGCGAACGGCATTTTCCAGCAATTTTATCCCAAGCACAGTATGGATCCTGCAGCGCTACGCACTCACTGTGGCAGATAAGGTGGCAGGGCAGAGCGACGTAGAGAGTGTGAAGTGGAGAAAAATAGTGAACAATGGCAAATTTAAATATAAATAATAAAATATATGCATATGCAATACATATGTAGGTATATACAGTAGTCATTAGGGTGCTGCAATTTTCGCTGAGAAGTTTTTCAGCGGATTTTGGTTGAAACTGATTGTGTACAAGTTTTCAAAACATTAAAAATTTGGAAAAAAAACATTTTTGAAATCAAAACTATTTATTATTAAAAGAAAAAATTATAATAGAATTGTATATAAAAAATATTAAATAAAAATTTTTAACAAAAAAAATTCATTTACTAAAAAATTCATATAAAATTGTGTATAAAAAAATTAAATTAAACTCAAAAAAAAAAAGCATCGCAATAGTTTGAACTTCAAAATTTTTGTATATTTGAAATAATTGAAATAGCCCTAGTTTCAAATTCACTGCTTTAGTTTTGGAATAGTTATATAACAGCTATTATAAAAGCTTTAAAAAATTCAAAAGTTTTGAAACCGCAGAGTTTAAAATCAAAATATTATCACTTTTAAAAAATATATCAAATTATATAAAATATAAAATTAAACAAAAGTTAAAATTAATAAAAAAATATTCAATATAATTTAGAATTCAAAAAATGCATTTCAAAAGTTGGAATTTGAAAATTGTTGTACGAGTACATAAGAAATAATTGAAATAATGCTAGTTTTAAATTCACTTTACTTTTGGATATATTTTAAAAGCTTCGAAATATGAATGCCTTTTTGATTTTTGTAAAAATTTTGAAAGCTGCGAATTTGAAGCCTTTCTTGTAGTTTATTTTTATCAGAAAAAAAATTATCTAATTTGAATTATATTTATTTAAAATAACTATCAAGAAATTAGAATTAAAAAATAAAAAATATGAATGATCTTGATTTTGTTTCCTAATTATGAAGGTAATATATGACCAAAAGTAGGCAAAATTCCAGGCAAACTCTAGCAATATAATCAATGCAAAGCTATTTCAAAAAAATCAGCTTTATTTTAACAAAAAGGACTCGCATAGCAATCTAACGAAAGAATATTATTTCAATAATATTCTATAAAACAAACAGTTTTGAGAATAGTTTACGTTGTTACAATAACAAAAAAATCTGAACTCCAGTAAGTGGGTACGTAACTTGGCTAAACTATGCCGAAATGTAGGCCACATTTTATGTTTATTAGGGTTTCTAACACTAGAACATTCTATCTAACAGATAATTTCTATTGCTTAGACATGCCATTTAGCTAAAATATGCTGAAAGGATAGACAAAATTCCAAAAAAGCTCAAACAACAATGCAATTTGAAACTTTTCCCAAGCTAGTAAGGTCTAAGTCACTAGTAAGCGCCGGATCTAAATCTGCCCAATGTCCCACGCGTCAACAGTATTCAAAAAAAAAAATTCGAAAATATTTTATGCTCTTGCAACAGCAACAACCACAGGAGTCACCGGGTATGTGACTTGGCTAAAGTATGCCTAAATATAAGCCTCGTTTTATTGTTAATACACTACGGATTTTGAGTTTCTTAAGCACAAATTTGGCCTTCAAAAGTAAATTTATAATTTGACTAGTATTTAAAGCAGATCAGCTAATGTATTAACTTAGATTTTCTGTGTTTATATTAAGTTTTAAGCAAATAACAAAAATTCATAAATTTAAAATAATTAAACAACTTCCAAATTATAACAAAATTAATTATTTCTTTCTTTAACTATTGTAGAATAAACTTTAAGCATACATCTTTAAGAAAAAATGTTTATATAAAATTTTATCTAAAAGTTCAAAACACCCACTAAATTTTCGGCCGTCTCTTTCGAAAATGCACGCGAAAAATGCTGTTTATTTATTTTCCGGTACATCTTTAAGAGGTCTTTTAGTTGCGTTTGAAAAATTTTGTATAATACTTAAAATGTATAGAAAAGGTTGCCTACATCACGGCGATGAGAAAAAATTTCTCGCAAGTAAAGTTGTATACTTTTATTTATAACGAATTAACTGCTGCGCGCCAACAAGTATGCAACGGCTAACCATTGGCGGACTCAATGTGTCACTGACTTTGCAGTAACTGACAATAGCGCGCGCGCTCGGTGCTAAGTATATAACTGTGAAGAAACAACAAAAAGCAAGCATCATTTTACACTTACCTACAGCTGGTGATTTTGTCATCGTGACAGCGATGCAATTGTATTGCAATCACTTGGCTATCGGTGACAATGATTAATTTTCCGTCATCGTAGCTGCCGTCCTTTGGTTGGTCTGTGAAATGGAAAAAGTAAAGAAGAACAAACAAAAAAAAAAAAAAACAATGTAATAAAAAGTTAAACAAAATGTGGCAACTTTTAATGAGTCTCTTCGTAGTACGACAAATGTAATCAATGCTTGACATGCTGTGGCATACTTGTAATATGCTTTAAGTCTCATATATGCCTGAGATTTATCTCTGATTTACATATATACATGGGTATATGAATATGAAGATGTTTTTATTTATTTTTTATTTTTTTTCTTTATTAATCAAACTTACCATACTGCATTGTGCGCACAATTTCCAAGTTTCTAATCGGTTCACTCTTTGGCAGCACATCGATTTCCTCAATCACCACTGATGATACTTTCGCATCCGAATCAGCCGATTCGGCATTAACGGACTTAATAATTTTGCCATGATCTATTGGAATGAAAAAATAATATATATTTAGGTATTTTTATGTTTCCATACTGTAGGTTCATTAAAGGGTTAGGTCATTCGTGTATTAAAAAAATATACATTTATATACTTTTTTTTTGCTAAAACTATCATAGAAACATTATTTAATTGATAACATAGTGAAATAGGTTTCTTTCAGTCAACTTCAGTACACTTCAGGGTGTTAGTAACATCCAGAAGGAAACGCCGGAAACCCTATAAGTTATATATATATATACTTGTATACTTAGCGTGACGAGCTGAGACGATTTAGCTATGCCTGTCTGTCGTATCGCTCTGAAATTGTGCACACGCCCTTTTCTGCTCAAGACGCTGCTCATTTGTCGGAACCGCTAATATCGGACCACTTTAGCATATAGCTATCATACAAACTGAACGATCAAAATCTAGTTCTTGTATAAAAAACTTTTTTATTTCATGAGATATCAGTACGAAATTTCTCATGAATTTTTTTCCAAAGCAGCGCTAAAATCTACGAATAAAAGTTTCAGATAAGACAACTATAGCATATAACTGATAGATCGAAATCAAGTTCTTATATGGAAAACTGTCGTATTGGACAAGATATTTTTATGAAATTTGGTGTAGGTTATTGTTCAAGGCGACGCTTGAATCTCCGAATATATTGTTAAAATCATATATGGTAGCTGCCTAACAAACCGTCCAAGCTGAATTCGAAGATAAAATGTCAACATATAAATTTTTTTTGTTCACTCAAATAAATGTTCAATAAAGTCTGAAAGAGCGGAACTCGATTCCGTTTTCATTATCTCCACAATAAATTGTCAAAACTAGACGTTTTTGTAGAGCTCTAAACTGATCTAAGCACTTAAAAAATTAAAGTAATTTTGCAACATTATTTCAAGCAATCACACTCTTTTTTTATCTCTCACTCACACACTCTCTCTCTTCTTTTTGTTCTCTTTGATTCTCTTACCTGTGCCGATGAATATTACGTCGTAGGTCTTTCCGCCGGGCGTTTTTATCTGCGCATCCACAGCGATTTGTGTGAAGCGATAACTGTAAGAAAACAAATGAATTGTTATATAAGTGATTAAATGTAAGGCAGGACTAAGAGAAAAGTCATACGCATTTAAATATATGTATGTGTGTATATATTATATATAGAACGAAAAGCCTTACAAAAGTCAAGTATAAAAGGATTGGCTGAACTTATCGCTTGTTAGCGAGGGTGCGACAATGTTTTGCTATCTCAGTGGTGTAATTAAAATGCAGGGCAACGTGCCATGTACTGCGTGGACATCTTTACTACCACATACACATGCATACAAACACAACGCACACACATGTGTATGTAGCACCAACAAGTATGGCGGGTAAGCTTAGTTATATAGTAGTCGGTAGTGCCGTTATGTGGCGAGTGCTCGTAAAAGATGACACGGTATAAAAATATGTACTCAAGAACAGCAACAGCAACAACAACTACAAAAGCAATGGCTTTCACTTAAAAGCACAATGGTGATAACAATGTTGTGTTTATATCTGTGTGTGTTTGCATGTATGCAGTAACCACATCACTGCTGTGCGCTGCTGTTGATAACGATGCCAACAAAAACAATAGTGGCTTGTAAAAGCATGTCATCCAAATAAAAGTGTATGGTGAAAAATGTGGAATTATAGAATGTATTGTCGTACTTTTGTGCACTTGTAATTAGGAATGTGATAATGTAAAAAATTATTTCATTCATTTTATAAGCACATTACACAATGGGAGAGGCATGGACATAATGACGTGGCATGGAAAAGGTTGAAGCAATAATGCAATTAGAAAATGATATGTGTGTGTATATACATACAAATGTATGTTTGCATCTGAAACGGTTTAATGCCTACTTGATTGAGTATTAAATCACAGAACATTTTTCTTATAGGAGACTTAGCAAGTCTAATTTAGGTTTAGAAGGTGCAGAAATTTTAAGAATTAGAAAGATAAAAAAATTGCGTTTTGAAGCTGGAGTCATGCAAAAGGTATTTTTAGCCGTATGAATTTGAGTTGGAAAACAAGTTGATTGTTTTGATAAAGACGACTACTAATTTTTGTTTTGTAAATTTCTAACCCACTTTTTATTCTCAAAAAATAGTTAATTAACTAGTTTAAGATATACGCCGATTTTAGCCACTTAATTGCAGAAGTTATAATTCCTAAGGTCTGAACTGGGTATTCTAAATTAGGGATTTGAATATTTTTGTTTAATTTTCGATAAAAATAGCTTCCTAAAATGATTTCAATTCAAGTTATTTTTA